AGTTTCTCTGCGGATTCGGGCTCCTCTTAGCGAGCACATTCCAACCCCATCTTCAAAAAAAAAAAAAAAATCCTGGGATGTTTTTTGGCTCGTCTGGTTTTGCCGGACGGACCCCCCCCAGTCCGTCTGGTCCGGTCTGGACGTCGACTTAACCCAGAAAAAAGGCTTAAATTTTTTTTTTTTGGCTATACGTCCATGGTCAAGAGGAAGAAACGACAAGAAAGTTGGAGGCTGAGAGAACTGGAAGATATCCTACAGCTTAAGGGTTTGTTGATAGAAGATGGAAGAGGGATGATGGGACATAGTCAGCCATTTTCATGGCCAGGTTCATGCAAGCTTAAGCATGTACCTGGCTGAAGGGATGTGGTCTTAGCAGGGGCGGCGCCGAGTCTTGAACGAATGACCGGGCTTGTCTGACAGCCAATCCTTCCACCAAGGAAGTAATCAATATGCTGTAAGGAGCAAGGCTACCAGAGTGGCCCGGGACCACTTGCCCAGCCAGGGCAAAAAAAATATATATTTAAAAGATATATATATATTTAAAATTGGTAAAGAATTTCGATGTGACCCGGAGGCAAAAGTTGTTCAGGTTATTTTTCTGCATGACATTTTTTTCAGGTTTTTTTAAACTGTTTTAAAGTGTGTTTTTATAACTTTTTACAGGGTCACCAGCCCGTACGTACGGAGGTCCCTGGGCAGACCTCATGGGCGTTCGGGGTCCCGTACGGGGTCCGAACTTGACCGCGTTCGGCCCCCGCCAAAAATTATTTCGGGGCCTAAAAATAACGTTTTTTTTCTGAATGTTTTTTTGTGAGTTCTCTATGACATGAGGTACATGCCTATAAATTTTCAAGTCATTTGGCTCAGCCAAATGAGAATTAAAAATCGCCAAAGATGGCGGTCTCAAAACGAGCTCGCCCACGTTTTTTTTCACTTTTTACTTTTTGTTTTCACTTTAGTTCAGGGTCTAAACAATTTTATTATTTTTTGAAACTTTTTAAGTGGGTTTTGCATTATGTAAAGTACACATATGTAAATTTTCAGGGCATGTAGATATGCCAAACAAAAATGAAAAATCTCCAAAGATGGCGGGGTCGAAAACGTGCTCACGCACTGGCTAAATTTAATTCTTTTTTATTTTTTACTATTCTTATTATTAGTATTTGTTTTTCGTATTTTATTTTTACTTCAAATTTGGTACGGAATTTGGATGTAATGCTCGGGCAGATCTTGCTCAATTTATTTTTTTTCATAACATATCTTTTTTTCAGATTTTTAAACATTTTTTTGATTTTTTTGATTTTTTTTTTTTTTTTTTAGGGTCCGCGTTCGGCCCGAACGGCCAAACGCATCCCAAAGGGGTCCCATACGTTTGGCCATTCGGCCCGTCCCGAACGTCGGTTACCCTGACTTTTTAA